TATGTAGGCCATAGAACCAAGGTCATAATATATGTGTGTGTGTGTGTGTATATATATATATATATATGTAGGCCATAGAACCAAGGTCATAATATATGTGTGTGTGTGTGTGTATATATATATATATATATGTAGGCCATAGAACCAAGGTCATAATATATGTGTGTGTGTGTGTGTATATATATATATATATATGTAGGCCATAGAACCAAGGTCATAATATATGTGTGTGTGTGTGTGTATATATATATATATATATGTAGGCCATAGAACCAAGGTCATAATATATGTGTGTGTGTGTGTGTATATATATATATATATATGTAGGCCATAGAACCAAGGTCATAATATATGTGTGTGTGTGTGTGTATATATATATATATATATGTAGGCCATAGAACCAAGGTCATAATATATGTGTGTGTGTGTGTGTATATATATATATATATATGTAGGCCATAGAACCAAGGTCATAATATATGTGTGTGTGTGTGTGTATATATATATATATATATGTAGGCCATAGAACCAAGGTCATAATATATGTGTGTGTGTGTGTGTATATATATATATATATATGTAGGCCATAGAACCAAGGTCATAATATATGTGTGTGTGTGTGTGTATATATATATATATATATGTAGGCCATAGAACCAAGGTCATAATATATGTGTGTGTGTGTGTGTATATATATATATATATATGTAGGCCATAGAACCAAGGTCATAATATATGTGTGTGTGTGTGTGTATATATATATATATATATGTAGGCCATAGAACCAAGGTCATAATATATGTGTGTGTGTGTGTGTATATATATATATATATATGTAGGCCATAGAACCAAGGTCATAATATATGTGTGTGTGTGTGTGTATATATATATATATATATGTAGGCCATAGAACCAAGGTCATAATATATGTGTGTGTGTGTGTGTATATATATATATATATATGTAGGCCATAGAACCAAGGTCATAATATATGTGTGTGTGTGTGTGTATATATATATATATATATGTAGGCCATAGAACCAAGGTCATAATATATGTGTGTGTGTGTGTGTATATATATATATATATATGTAGGCCATAGAACCAAGGTCATAATATATGTGTGTGTGTGTGTGTATATATATATATATATATGTAGGCCATAGAACCAAGGTCATAATATATGTGTGTGTGTGTGTGTATATATATATATATATATGTAGGCCATAGAACCAAGGTCATAATATATGTGTGTGTGTGTGTGTATATATATATATATATATGTAGGCCATAGAACCAAGGTCATAATATATGTGTGTGTGTGTGTGTATATATATATATATATATGTAGGCCATAGAACCAAGGTCATAATATATGTGTGTGTGTGTGTGTATATATATATATATATATGTAGGCCATAGAACCAAGGTCATAATATATGTGTGTGTGTGTGTGTATATATATATATATATATGTAGGCCATAGAACCAAGGTCATAATATATGTGTGTGTGTGTGTGTATATATATATATATATATGTAGGCCATAGAACCAAGGTCATAATATATGTGTGTGTGTGTGTGTATATATATATATATATATGTAGGCCATAGAACCAAGGTCATAATATATGTGTGTGTGTGTGTGTATATATATATATATATATGTAGGCCATAGAACCAAGGTCATAATATATGTGTGTGTGTGTGTGTATATATATATATATATATGTAGGCCATAGAACCAAGGTCATAATATATGTGTGTGTGTGTGTGTATATATATATATATATATGTAGGCCATAGAACCAAGGTCATAATATATGTGTGTGTGTGTGTGTATATATATATATATATATGTAGGCCATAGAACCAAGGTCATAATATATGTGTGTGTGTGTGTGTATATATATATATATATATGTAGGCCATAGAACCAAGGTCATAATTAAAAGAGCCCTCAGCTGGATGTCAGGTCAGCCTCAGTTTGAATCCAGTCTCCTCCATAAACTGATCCCTCTGACTCTGGGCACCTCATAAGAACTCACTAAACAAATTTCCTCTAGTATAAATTGAGGCTAAAAACATCTCATAGTAAAGCTGGGAAAGGGGAAGGAGAGGGGCTGGGCATTCAGTGAAACCCCTT